CTGGTGAATCCTCCCACCCTCCACATCTCTGGCCTGTACCCCTGTTCCATGTGAACAAATAAATAAATCTTTAAAAAAAAATAACCCTCCCACACACATCCTCCTCAACAGAGTTTATATTTTTATTCCTAACATTCATCACCTCATAACATTAATGTATTTATTTGTTGTCTCTCCTCTCTTAAATAGAAAGTCCATGAAGGAGGGCCTTCTACAGTTGTGTCTGCTACTGTATGCTCTGTACTGAAAATAAGGCCTGCTACATACTTCACAGGCACTTGAATGATGAAATGATGCACGAGAATTTGATTTACAATTCAAAATCATAAATGATGAAAATATAAAACAATATAACTGCAACAAACAGTAAGGGGAGATGAGGTGATGTACACTTGTTTCTTCAACTGTCAGAGCAAGGATTAATCAAGTCTAAATTTGACAAGGTGAAAAAACCTGCATGTTTGGCCTTTGTAAATAACCTTCATATCTTCTTCTGGACTCAAACTTGTTTGACTTGATGGCTCACTCATACTCTCTGCAAAGCTCACTGTTCTCTGAAAAACTTATAAATCCAAAGGGCCTCAACTGAGATTATACAGCCGGGACACAAGTACAGACCGTGACCACTAAGAGTGTGAATACATGAAGCCAGGCTAGCCACGGATTAGTGGCCAGGGGTGTGGCGGGACTGGGGAAACTGAGTCTCCATGGTGATGATACACATTTTTGGCGGCACTTGGCAATATGTAGAAAAAATGTATAAAACTTATTTACCCAGCAATTCCATGTCTAGAAAATAGTACACAGAGTCATTTACAAGGTATATGAGAATGTTCACTGTAGCATCGCATGTCACAGCAAAACAAAAATAGAAACAAAATGAAATGTCCCTCAAAGGGGACTATTAATGAGGTACAGCTAATAAAAACAAGTACAGCAGATGTGGATATATGGCTACGTAGAAGTATGTATGACATGTAAAGAGTAAAAGCAAATAACAAAGCATGTGATACGATTTCATTTATGTAAAAGGAAGTATTTAAAATTATAGAAGTATGGATTTTCAGGTCCATGTTTGTTTGCATGGGAAATATTGGAAAAGATACTTCCAATCTGTTCACGGCAAAGACTTGGGGAAGAGAAAAAGGAAATGAGGAAGTTTAGTTCGTCAACTGGTGTAACATTCACATTGTTTTCAACAGTATATATTTTCACCAAAAAATTTAATTCTAAAAAGTCTAACACATTTTTAAATACACTTATTTGATTGCTACAATGTACTGAACATATGAAAGGGCACATTTAGTGTAACAGAAGGGCAGATTTAGGAAAGAAAATGCTGTAAGGTCACAGAGCATCCACAGTCACACAGACATAGTTGCAAGCTGCTTAAAGACAGGAGCAGGGATGTCTGGGTTGCCATTTACCCCCAGTCCCCACTACAGTGCTTGGTATATGGAAAATCATCAGTAAACATTTGCTGAGCAGATAAATGGAGGGACATGTTAAGAACCAAAGCCATCTATGATTCAATATCCCTACCATATTTATCCCTTCATAAGTCTAAGTTCTTCATTTGAAGAAATTTTAGTTTTGAGGTCTGTGATCTCCTCTGGATGCTTTCAGCTTGTCCCATGGCTAAGTCCACAGGCCCTCACGGATGCTGGAGCGTGTCTCTTCTGAGCCCCTCAGATCAGTTACCAGTCTGTTACTAGAGTCCTAAGAGACATGCTTGCAGGCAACAACATAGTGTTCCCATGCCGTATGTTCTGTGCCTGTTGGATCCCAGGCTGGTTTGAAGACTGTGAACTAGAGAATTGTCCAGCAAAGCCTATATGTGTGGTATCAAACTAATAACTGCATGTATAAAAGTTCTTTACCACAAACACAATGTTTTATACCCAAAGAGGAATGCAGCCAAGTAGTGGCAATAGCTTGATGTTTAATATACATTAGAGCATTACAAAAAAACGTGACACCATCCCTGGCTCCTGGTTTTCTGGCAGTGTAATAAGTAACCTAGATGGTACAGCAATTCTCCTACATTGTATACTTGAGCAAGAAAAAATTATAATTCAATCAGTTCTGATCCTCTTTGCTTGTTACCTGGATTTTTTTTCTTATTTCAACTAAGATTACTAAAACCAATAATGCTCATGAATAAATTATGTGTCTTCATTCTCACCCAGTTTCATTTTAAATTGATGACCTAAGCTTATTCAAATTTATCAGATATTGGCACTCAACAAAATGTGATTCTTTAACAGGACAACCCCTTCCCTCACTGCAGACACATGCAGCTTTCTGAGACTGAGCTCTGACATGTTTTCAATGCCATTATTTGAAAACAATGAAAATTTGGTGGTGGTGTTTTTTTATTTTTTAAGATTTGAAGTTTAAGGCCCTCCCTGGTTGCGCAGCAGGTTAAAGTGCAACACTGCCTGCTGCTCCCTTCAGCAGTGTACTTGGTCAGTCAGCCTGTTCTGCTTCCCACTGTCGCTGGTGAATCCTCTCACCGTCCCTGAGTCTCTGGTCTGTTCTATGTGCATAAATAAATAAATCTTTAAAAAAAAAGATTTGAAGTTTAAAAGCACAAATAGGCCCTCCTTGGTGGCGCAAGAGGTTGAAGCAGCACTATGAAGCTGCTGCTACCACTGCAGCACGAGTTCGATCCCCAGCCAGGGAGGTGACCCACATGGTGCAGCAGACCTCTCCTGTTTCGCCTGCTGCTCCCCTCAGCAGTGTATTTCAAGTCAGTCTGCCTGTTCTGCTCCCCACTCTGTCCCTAGTGAATCCTCTCACACCTGTATCCCAGTTCTTATATGCATAAATAAATCTTAAAAAAATAAAATCAAGCGTCTCACTGAAAGGTAAGGAGGACTCTGAATCATCACGCAGGAATGGAAACACCCAGACAAGGTAGATTGAGGGAGCAATTTGGATTCTGTGGAAAATAGAGGAAAAGGACTTTGTTCACAAGTAGTGCAGGTGAGAAGTAAGCAAACCTGGAACAAAACTTAGCAGGGGGATGGAAAAGAAACAAGAGAAATGTCTGAGAAGGAAACCCACAAATTCCATGTGTTGTCACAGAATTACTGTGACTGGGAGAAACCCACTCTATGAGAATACTGTGATGTCATAAAGTCAAAGTTCTACTCCACAGCACAGCAAATAGTTAAGATAACCCCATCGGTGGGATGAACAGGCCCACATCTGGTTCCTTAGGTTAGACAGTGTATCTAAAAAAATGGCAACAAGGGGTGAAAATGGCCCCGGTTCCCAGCATCTGCTCTGTACGCCAAAGCCTACCGTGGCTTCCGATTGATTCTCCACACACAGAACAGTACCTCAACAATTCTGTTACTCTCAATTCTCCTTGGGACATTGTGTTTCTTTATAAATTGCCTGTGGGAAAAAAAAATAGCCTGGGGCCAACCTGAGACTCCATTAAATGTCAACAGAGAATGCAGGAGTAATAATAACAGAGGATCCTATTTGTAGGTTACAGATAATATTTATGGAACTTATTTATGATCGAACCTAAGAACCTTAGGTGTCAACTTATTTAAGCATCGTAAACTCACAGGCGTTACCATTCCCATTTTCTAGATGAGAAAAATGAGACACAGAGAATGATGTCATTCAGCAAAATTCAAAAAGGACTCAATCCAGAGAAACTGACCTCAGAACACTAATTACGGCACTGTTCCTCAAATTTACACATATCTTACAAATGACAAGCCTTAACAAAACCCTTTAGAAGAGACAGAAATATTACCTGATCCTTTCAATACGTAAAAATAAAGAACATGTTTGTTTCCATTGTACAAACAAGGATACTGAGTCACAGAGATACCAAGTTGTTGATGTAGGATATCAATAACAGTTATACCAGTCAAGGCAGAAGCTGAAATCTATAACTGCTCGCTTCTAACATGCCACGCCATCTCTCACTTCTGTTAGTAACCTTGCTGTAGGGATTAAATTGCATCTACACCATCAGATATGCAGAAGGATAAAAGCTGCATCCAAGGTTTATTAGGTTTGGCATGAGTGTCCTGATACTTGAAAACAGTACATTATCTTCAGGCTGAAATGTGATTTCATACGGCTCAATGTCAGAGTATCCGTGGGAAGTGAAGAGAAGGAGAAGCAGCAGACCAAGTGAGCAGTATCTAACAGAGGCCTCCAGAATAACCCTTTCTTGAGGTCTGCTGCTGTCAGTGGCCCTTCTGCAGCCGCAGCCTGGGAGAGGAACACCAGGATGCAAAGACAGGAGTGGAACCTCATTCCAAAACCATAGCCAGGGCCCTTCATTGTGTCTTTGCTGGTAAACGCCCCTCTTGCCTTCATGCCCTCTCTTCCCAGTCCCTCCCATGCCAGGCCCACTATGGCAAACGTTGCGATTTAATCACTGTCACTCATACATTTGTGCCTCGTTTCTCAATTATCCCAGGAACAAATCAATTATTTGGGGGTAGTTCTAATGGTTTCTAGTAGCCAGGGCATTGCAGCTCTGGCTCCTATTACCCACTAACTCATCATCCTTTCATTCCATGCTTCACACCCAACCACACTGGATCCCGATCCGCAGTGACATCCCCCCGTCCTCGCCCCCCCCTCCCCCATTTTTTAAAACTGCAGAGAATAATGCTGACACAGTTTGGAATCAGAAGGAATGGCAACCCCCTGAGAAGCGAAGATCCGGGCAGGTATGGGGAGCCCAGAACGCGCCTTCCTCCTCAGCACCACCACCCTCCTGACGTTCTGCTTGCTGGTCAGGGGGCAAGCAGCACCTACCCACGGAACCGAAGCTCCTACCACCTTGGCTCCTGCCGCCGCGGCTGCTGCTATAGAAACACCAGGCGTACACACTGGACTGAAATTAAACACCCATCCGGGACCGGGACCAGAGCTGGGATCGGCCAGCTGCCGCGGTCGCCATGGCAACATGCCGGGAGGAGAGCCTGGCTGGGTGAGTGCGGCGCGGGGATACTCACTCCATCGCTCTGCTCCAGGCGGCGGGGCGTGCTGCTGCGGGACTCGCGGGCTCTGCTCGCCTCTGCCAGAGCCAGGCGCTCCGGCCGCGCCGCTCGCGAGGTGGAGTCGAGAGCTTCTCCCCTCCCCGCTCGCACCCCCTCCTCCCCTCGAGGGTTGAAAGTGAACGCTCAGGCTCTCTGAGCTCCCAGCCTGCGAATAAAACGGGAAGCAATTGGATAATGTTGTTCGCTGGGCGCGAGACAAGCCGCTCCACTTGAGTGTTTCGTAGGGAGCGAGCCGGCAGCTGCGCGCCAGGGCAGTGTGGCCACCGCCGCGCAGTGCCCGGCCGCCCGAGGCGCCAGGTGCGCCTGCAGATCCCGCGGGACGGCGGCGCTGCACTGAGACGCGAGGGACGGGTGGGAGGGGAGATGGGCGGCTGTGGCGGGCGGCAGAGCCCAGAGGGCGCAGGGAAACGACTGAGTCATTGGCAAGGTTGCAGTCTCGCGGCTTGCAAGTTGGGAGAGAAAAAAAGGCGTCTGGCCTCAGCAAATAGCCAGTACTGCCCCCAAGAGGCTGGGCATGGGTTCGGAAACGCCATTGTGCCAACCCAGCGGGCATCGGTGTGAGTTTCCCAAGCAAAACTCCAGCTGCATTGTGGCGCGTTACTGCGGTGTTTCATCACTTTGGAGACCCCACGCCCTTCTTATCACTCCATATTCTGCCTACGCTCCTCTGCCCAAGTAGAGAGAGCCTCACCTTTCCCAGGTTCCTTCTCTGAGAACAACAGATTTATTGAATGTGGTTTCCCAAATCACCACACCCCAGCCGATACTAAGAAGCCGTCCCTAGACATATTTGCTCTCTAGTCCTTTTGGGAATCCCTTACTCCAGTTTCCAGAGCAGGAACCTGGTTCCCATCTGCAATGACTAGCAGATATGCCAAGGTCCAGCTTTGCATCTTATTGCCCTGGACCTCTGTGAAGGGGGTGTCTGCAGGGTGCTGAGGAGGAAGCCTAAGCATAATCAGCCAACTCCTGGTGGAACATACAGTCTAAGTAGATGAAACACAGAAAGAAATATATCTATTATAATCACAGGGTGAAAACACTGTGACAAAAATTAAGTAACACAATGCTATGAGGAATGTTTTCAAATGACTTGATGATGATGATGGCACGACTCTGTGAAGATAGGAAAGACCACTGAAATATACATGTGGGTAAGTTTTATGGTATATGAATTATATCTTAATAAAGGTGTTCTAAAAAACATACTCCTGTGGAGAATAAAAGGGAAGGAGACCTACTGAAGTAGGTCCCTTCAGATAAAGCCTCTCTGAAGAGTCTGGCTTGAGAGAGAAGTGGGTTCAGGCCTTGCAAGGGACAGGGTGGTGGAGGGAGGCCCATCTAGTCAACCTTTAGCTTGTTTGGGGACCCACAACAGCAGGAAACTCCACATATCCCAGGGACTGGAAGGAGACCAGTGCAAAATGTTCTGGGGTTCACTACTCCTCCTTTTCCTCTAGAAAATGAACCACAAAATCAAACCCAGTGGAGTCAAAGAGCTGTGGAAAGAAAATTTGGATAATCTCCAAGTTTCCATTCACAGAGAATCTAGTGTGAATTTGGAGGTCACAAACCCTCCTTCAACCCATGGCCCCCTTCAGTAACCATCCTGTTTATTCTTCCTCTTCATAGTCAAGTCTTACAAGGACTGGCCATGCTCACCTTCTCTACTCCCAGGAACATAAAGAATTAAGTTCAACTGTGAGTTGAAGAAAGAGATTTCTCTTTCTGACTCTTTAAAGGTCAGAGATAAGCTGTCTTGGATTAGTTAGCAGCTATCAAATAACTAAGAGTCCCAGACATCGCCAAATGTTCTCTGGCATTTGTTGTCTCCCTTCCTAAAGTCATTCCACAGTTCCAGTTAACACTAAGCTGCAGCCCCCATGTCTGCATCCCAACCAGCACAAAGGTAAGAGTAAAGAAGAGGCAAAAGAAGTGTGTCAACTGCTACTTAAGGAAGGTTCCGGAACTGACTCAAGACTCTCATCTATATCTCTGGCTAAAATTTAGTCACATGGCCACATTCAGTTTCCAGGGTGCTGGGTAAAGCAGTCTTTAACTATGCATAGTCATCATCCTAGTTAAAACATGGAGGCTCCACCCTATGAAAGAAGAGGAAAACAGGTTTTGGGGACAATCAGCAGTCTTTGCCCACCCCTTAATCCTCAGCATTCAGACTTCTGCCTCTTCCATGCCAATAATACTTCTTGTCATAGTCACCAACACTCGCATGACCTGTGAGCTATGTTTATCATTTTGAACACTTTTTTTTTAAGATTTATTTATTTGTACAAACAGAACTGGGGTACAGGCCAGAGGCTCAGGGGCAGTGAGAGGCTTCACCAGAGACAGAGTGGGGAGCAGAACAGGCAGATGGACGAAGTACACTGCTGAGGGGAGCAGCGGGCGGGTCAGGAGAGGTCTGCCACACACCATGTGGTCACCTCCGGGGCAGGCGGGAATCGAACTCATGCGGAAGTGGCTTTAGCTTCTCAGTGCAGTGCTTTAACCCAGGGAAGGCCTGAACACTTTTTTTTTTTTTTTCAAGATTTATTTATTTACAGAACTGGCCTCTGGTACAGGCCCATGAACACTTTTTTTAATATTTGATTTTTCACGTTAAGTTTACATAAGGTACACTGAGTCAAATTCATCCTTTTTAGGTATTCAAATCTGTGAGTTTTGTTACATTATACAGTCATATAAACACCTCTATTGTCAAGCTGTAGAGTATGGTCATCACCCCAAACAGTTCCTTCAAGTCCCTTGGTAATCATTCCCCTCTTCCCACTTCCAGCTGTGAGCAACCACCAACCCAACTTCTATCCCCATGATTTTGCTTTGTCCAAAATATCACATAAACACACTCCAACAATATGGTGGCTTTTCTATTTGGCCTCTTTCACTTAGCTAAAGCTTTTGTGATTCATCTATATTGTGTTTTAAGTGATTCCTTTCATTGCTGAGTAGTATTCTATGGTATGGATACTCCGTTTTTTGTTTTGTTTTTTACCCATTCACCAGTTGATGGATATTTAAATTGTTTCCAATTTGTAGCAATTACAAATAAAATTTCTATAAGCATTCATGCACAGGTCTTTGTGTGGACATGTATTTTCATTTCTTTTGAGCAGATATCTGGGATCACTTTCCATTTTGAAACACTGTCTTCTAGCTGACACAGGCTAGCTATCACTTCTCCGCTATTTGGCCTTAGGCAATACTGTAGGGTCTAGCCTACAGTAGCTTCTTACTATATATACCCTATCTTAGCAATTTCATCTACTTCCTTGGCTTTATTTAACCACTTTTATAGTGCTCACTGTCATAACTAAATCCTAGCTTCTTACTATATATACCCTATCTTAGCAATTTCATCTACTTCCTTGACTTTATTTAACCACTTTTATAGTGCTCACTGTCATAACTAAATCTCCCCACACACATCATTCTCCCGAACTTCAAAACTGAATATCCAAAGGTCACTCTGACATCTTCACAAATACCTTAAATTCCAAAATTCACTCGTCATTTTCATCTACAAACCTCCTCCTAATAACCTGCTGTCTATATTATCAATAGAGAAGGAAGTATCCACACAAATACTGATTTCCCATCTCCAGTCAATCAAAAAAGATTTATCCAGGCCACAGAGCCCATTCACTTCTCCCCACCCCCACTGCTGATGATAAAAGCCTCCCTCCTGGTCTTTTTGCATCCAGGTATACCTAATTCCAATCCATTCAACCAAAAAATCACACATTCTTCCAAAGACACAATCATTAAGATTAACGTTAAATTGAATTGTAAATACAGCCTAAGTTTTCTGAAGTTAGTAGACTGACTTATAGTCATCAAATGCAATAAGAAATCACGAATGAATTCATTTATGACCTCTTAAGAATCATAAATACATCTAATGCTACATTTAACTTTAGGAGGGAAAATAACAGACTTTAAAGTAAAATAGATTTTCCAGTGTGGTTTTTATAGCTTTTGTGATTTGGGATTTTGGGATTTTGGATTTCTTAACCCATAAAATGAGGGGAATAATACCTATCCTTGAGGTGGCTTGAAAACTGGATTCACCGTATATAAAATGCCCAGCACAGTACCCGGTATTCATATCTATCACTGGGATCACAGTGGTTCCTGACTCAAAACAAACAAAACTCTTAATATCACTCCTTTACATTTGATACTCATTATGTCTTGTTAAATGATTTTCTAGTTCATTAGAAATTTAAACACAATTAGAATGGGTTAGAAACATGGAAAGTTTAATTTCAAGCAATAGAAGCTAAAAGTATGGGAGGAACTGTGAAAATGGGCACAAGACTAAAAACTAACAATAAAACTTCAGTTTGGGAACACTCAAATTAGGAACAAATATGATTTGTAAGTATACATCACAAAGATCCTGAGAACATTACAGGACAGCCATGATCAGGCTTTCAAAGCTTTCCTTGAAATTTTTCCTTAACTATTTCCTTTAGGTTTGTAATGTTTCTGTTTCAGGTAGGCTAAAATTTATCTACCTGGAAAACTTAATGTTTTATCCACTGATGTTGGATAAAAGGAGCTACTGCAATCAGTTAAATGTCTAGGACCTTCCCTGGTGGCACAGTGGCTTAAAGCACAGCACTAATAAGCTAAAGCCACTTCATCAAGAGGTGACCCACATGGTGCAGCAGACCTCTCTTGACCCGCCCGCTGCTCCCCTCAGCAGTGTCCTTCCAGTGTGGTTTCTGCTCCTCACTCTGTCTCTGATGAATCCTCTCAGCACCCCTGCACCTCTGGCCTGTATCCCAGTCTGTATGCATAAATAAATAAATCTTTATTTTAAAAAAAAGTCTAAATGGGAAGGAAGAGAATAAAATAAGCACAATCCCTTTGTTATACTCAACATACAATTCTACTATGTTAACAAATCCAGAGCAAACTGTCAGGTTGGTGACTAAAATATAAAAATAGACAGTCTTTCTAGTTTACTTAG